TAAATCATGTTCTGTGTCTCCAGAAAGTGAATATTTGGCCTCGCTTCACAAGCACAGCTGAAGTCAAATATTTTAATCCCAGTATTGAGTGTTCAGGTACAATATTTTAATCCCAGTATTGGGTGTTCAGGTACAATATTTTAATCCCAATATTGAGTGTTCAGGTACAATATTTTAATCCCAGTATTGAGTGTTCAAGTACAATATTTTAATCCCAGTATTGGGTGTTCAGGTACAATATTTTAATCCCAGTATTGGGTGTTCAGGTAGAGCATCATGGCTCAAATCCTCTCCTTTTCCCTCACAGCAGAGGAGGGAGCTGATGGAAAATGTTTGTTTTATGGCATTGTATTTTTAGCTTTCGTTTCGTTTCGCCTCCATGCTTTTAATAGGAACCAAATTAAAACGGAATTTAATAGGAACCAAATGAATTTAGGCTGTGAGTGAATTTTGTCTCAACAAAGAATTCCATTGATGGGGAGTTTCAGGCCTATGGTAGGAAAGAGCAGCTCCCAGATCTGCCCAGTTAAATTGCATTTATCTGTGTGCATGAACATGCAGATAAAAATAAAAATCCACATCCAAATCCTGCCCGTATAAACAGATTGTAAGAATAAAGTCTTGGATTTGGGTTTATTTTTAACCATTATAACTGGGTGTGCTCAGTGCAGAACTCTCATTGTTTGACAGAGCCCAGGTGCAAATAAAATCTTCCCTGTCAGGAGCTGTAATTTTGTTTATTTTATACTACAGCAGAGAAGGCTCCAGATGCAGCTGGTTTTTGTCTCCCTCTTCCCTCCTTGTTGTTCAATCTCAGCCTCTAAGTGAGCATTGGGGAAAAGTGAAACTTAATGATTATGAAATTAAAAACAATTTCAAACAGCAAAAGCAAACTTCTGTTACGGAGCATTTCTGCACACACCTGACCAAACTCTTAAAATCACAGAAAGCCGATGTGAAATCATTAATAAAATCAGCTTTTGCTCTTCCTTCTTCGTGTTACAATTACCACAGTTTGTGCTGATGAGTGGGGAGTGTGCAGTAGCTGAATTTTGTATTTCTGGGAATTTTGGGAATTACTGTCCTCTGCATCTCCCTTCTTGCTCAGAGCTTTTCATTCAGTGCCACTCTCAGTGTGACAGTGTCTATTCTCCTGGTGTGTCCCTGAGAAATTCCCAATCTCTCCTTCCTTCTCTTCAAAAGATTTCAATTGAGCTTTGGAATGTGAGAGGTGTTGGGTGGTTTCTGTTGGTGCAGTGCTTTTCTGCTTTTAGTGACTTTTCTTTAGAATGCATTGAAATTACATTTTTTACCATTTAAAATACAGGTTAGAAGCATTTTCCTCCTATAAACATTAAACTTGTAGATGTATATTTTATCTGAAAAACTGAGTGGCTCTGTTGTCACTGAGCTGTTTAGTTGGGATGAGAAATGTAATTCTTACTTTGAAAAAGAAGGGAATATCTTTGCGTTAGGGTATGTACACTTGAAAAGTGTGATTGGAAGAAAAACTCCACAGTTTTATAGGAGATAATGGCTTTAGGATGGAGGAGAATAGAATTAAATTAGATATTAGGATGAAATTGTTCCCTGGCAGGGAGGGCAGGGGCTGGCACAGGGTGCCCAGAGCAGCTGTGGCTGCCCCTGGATCCCTGGCAGTGCCCAAGGCCAGGTTGGACACTGGGGCTGGAGCAGCCTGGCACAGTGGAAGGTGTCCCTGCCATGGCAGACATGGCACTGGATGATCCTTAAAATCCCTTCCAGACCCTTCTGGAATTCCGTACTTCATGAAAATTTAATTTAGCTTAGCTTCAGTTCTGCCCAAAACAGTTTCAGCATTTATTTGTGCCACCCTGCGAGCAGCTGAGTTATTGAATGTACACAGCAGTCACTGGTCGGTTGTGAAATGCAGATTTTCCACGATGAGTCGCTGCAGATCCTGTCAGAGCCCAAACAGCTGCAGCTTCTGGGACTCCAGAATCCTTTAAATCCTGGAGCAGCATCTTCCAGGATTCCCAGGAAGGGATTCCAGCAGTTTGGCTGCTCCCTGCCCTGTGCTGGGTGCCTGGGCTCTCCCAGAGGTGTCCAGGAGGTTCCTGAGCCAGCTCCTCTCGTGGCTGTGGCCACCAGAGGCTGCTGCAGAACGGCAGATGCTGCTGGAACAGAGAGCTTGGCAATTCCAGCTGGATCCTGGGCTGAAATCCCACCGTTCTGACAGGATTGTGTTCCTGTTCAGGGGGCTTGGAGCAGAATTTAACCCTGACTTCGCATATAAGTTCATTTCGTTATCCAGTAATGTTATTTTTTCTGTGCCAATGTAGTTGTGGGATGTTCAGCATCCCTGTTCCTGGAATGTTGTGGGAAGGAAGTTCTTACAGTAAAAATTAATTTTTCTACTGTGACCAGTACTTCAAACTTTGTTAGACACCTGAACCCATATTTTCTTAGGAATTTGTAAAAATGCCCATCCTTGATTCTGTGTTTATATTTTTGATCAGCTCAGTAAGCACATGGACATTATGGGGGAAATTAGCTTGAGAATTATACACATATAACAATTCTTAAAATGGTTCAGGATGTGTTAGAAGCAGTGAAAACAAGAAGTTTGCCTAAAATCTATGGGGAAAAATCACTTGAAATAATACACTCAGGAGAGTAAGTGGCTGGAATTGTGTGGCACATTTGTAATAATGGAACAGCACACAGAAATAGGTGCTGTTTTGTTCTTTCCAGAAAATATTCTGTGGCAAAAACACATCATCATTTCTGACACAGCCTCAAGCACTTTCACTATTTATTTACGGTGCCATCACACTTTAATCACCTTTATTTTGTAACTTAATTTCTGTCAGACTGTAAACCCAGCCTAAGTTGAGTTAAAATTCTTTTTCTGTGTGTAGAACTTGCACATCCAGTGCTGCTGAGTGAATTTCTGTGTTTGGAAAGCGATAGGAAAACACTCTCTGATTAAGCACAGTTTTTCCATGTTCTCCCTGACAGAAATGAAAGCTGTAATTTTTCTAAATATCAGTTACAGCCAATCAGTTACTGTGGGTATGTAAAACAAGGAGGATAATGTGTAAGGAATTTATTTATTCTGTCAAAGCTCTGAGTGAAGGTGCAAGTCAAAGAAATGCTCACAAAATCTTTAATCATCATCACATCATCATTTATGATGCAGAGCAGAAAATAGAAAAGGGGGGGAAAGGAAATATTTAAAGATATGTTATCCAAGAGTTTAGGCAGAAAATATTCAGGGGGGGCTTTAGGAAAGCAAGATATGAGGAGTAATTTCTTTGTAGCTAAAATTTAGCTGCTGAGTTTCTCTTAGTCTTGGGGCTTGGAACCAAGTGTTTGACAGAATTTGGGAAAAATTATTCTTTTCTTTGTGTCCTGTTGTGCCACTGGTGCTGCAGGGCTGACAGCACAGGCAGCAGAGGCTGTGAAATTTGAGAACAGGTCATTTCTGGGGGTGGAAATCCAGAGAAAGGTGTTGGGAGCAGGAGCACTTCTCTCATTCCTTCTCCAGGTAGAGCAGTGGGGTGTGGAAAGGAGGAGTAATTCTTGGTTAGATAACTGTTTATGGGAAGTTTGCTCTCAGTTTGTGGTTTGTGGCTTTTGAGGAGCTGGGCTGGAGCTCAGGCACATCTCGTTCAAGGGCAGGAGAGATCAGTCCTGCCTTCAGCACCCACACAGGAAATGTATTCCAGTTCCCAGATACAGCAGTGGTGGGAATGAGGGGTGTGGGTTTGGTCAGGACCCACACCCCTCATTCCCTTTTGGTTTAAAAATCAGATCTCTTCCTCTTGGAAATTTGAGGGCAAGAATCAGAAGTGCCTTATTTCCAGTCAAATTGAAGCCACAATTTTTTTATGGTTTCATTTATCACATAAAAGACAACTTTAACTGTCTGAAATTGAAGCTGCACACTGAGCAAAAAATCCCAGAATCTGTGTTTGTGGCTATTCCTAAAGTTGTGGCAAACATTTCATATCAAACCTCTCAGAGCAGAATTTGTTACCTCCAGAAAGAGTGAATGTGCAGCAGTTGGTTCAGGGTGTCACCACAGGGGTACTAACAGTAGTAAATCATCCCTCAGCTGAAGGTGTGACCTGCTTTAGCAGATACTCCACTGAGAAATCAGTAAATGGGTTTTTAAACTGCTGGTTTAGCCTTCAGATTGAGTCTTAGTTGTGGGAAATGAATTTGTAGGGAATTCTCCAAGCCTGACAGAAGGCTCACACAGTGCATCCGTGTGCAAACCTTGAGATAAGAAATGCTGACTCAGAAATGCCGTGGAATAGAACAAACTTTGTTGGGAGAGAAATGGAACTAGAAAGAAGTTTCAAAGGATGGCCTTGAAAATAAGACTGGATACTTTGGAGAAACAAAACTGTGAAAGATGCATTGTAGTGGGACCCACGAGGGGTAATTTTAGATGATTGGCTTGAAGGCATCTACAGCATGGTGTGGCTAAAGCTGATAGGCCAAGAAACACTTACAGTGTATTGTAATTAGGAAATAATTGGCTTCTGATTGTGTTGGTGTGAATTATAACATCTGTATTGTCTCACCCTTCTCATGAGACTGAAAATGGAATAAAAGTTTTTAAAACACATCTCAGTTGCCCCATCTCTGAGTCAGAAAAAGGCTTAATCCAACACTTAGTGCTGGATTAAAGAGCTTCTTCCAGCAGAGGATCTCAGCATGCTGAGCAACCTGCAAGATGCAGATGAATGTGTGCACTCCATGCTTCAGAGTGTAGGAAGACACTGCAAACCCTGCTACAGAGAAAAATGAAGATTAATTAGTCTTCAGAGGATTGTGGTCTCAACTCTAGGACAGCGTCAAGCATGAGCAACAGAACTTTGTATTTGAAGAGGAAAAATTTCCCTGTTTTGAAGTAGAAGATTGCTTGAATAAAAACGTTTTTGGAAGAATGTTGGTGTGTCCTCACATGGGGTGATCTCTCTTTCTCATCCTCTTGCCCTTGCCCACAGGAAATCCATCTTGCTTTCCTGAAATGGCTGGAGGGGAACGTGGATGCTGAGGGACTGAGGGCATCCAGCAAGGTGTCCCTGAAGTTTGTTTCATCCTGTGAGTCCAAGGTGGAGGTGACTCCGTCCCTGGTGCCCGTGATCACGGAGATGGGGAGCTTCTCCTCAGAGCATTTCAGCCTCAAGACCTATCAGCAGCATCTGCAGACCAAGAAGCTGGGCAAGATCCTTCTCTTCACTGAGGTGACCACGACAACCATGAATCTTCTGGACGGGTAAGATGGGGATGCAGGGTATCCCGAGTTAACTCTCTGATTGGGAATTCATAATTGTGGTGACACACAATGCTCAGAGAGGAGCTGGACATGAAGTGGAGAACTTTATGTTCACAGGATATTATTTGGTAATATATAAAATATTGAGCCATAAAGGGTGGGGAAAGCTGAGTGGCACTATCAGCCTTTTGGTTGGTAGTGGAGTTTAATCTTTATTCCTCTGAGCATCACCCTAAGAAAATTTGATTTAATAAATATTCATATTTAGGAGATTAAATGCATTCTCTAGTGCAAATTATTATCTCAGCCTTTCACTTGAGAAGACTCATACCAAGCACGTTGTGCCTTTAATTTTTAACCTTCCTGTTTTCTCTCATTTCTTTTGCTGAATATTTCCCTAAAATGCTCTTTAGTGCTTGGTTTGTGTTCTTAAAACACGAATTAGAGCTCTGCTAGAGGTGCTTTCATCATCACACAGATGACCCTTGTGAATGAGCTGTGGGATACCTTAGAGAAGGTTCTTCATTAGAGTTTAAATGGAATTAAGTGATAGGAAAATCACAGTTACTAAATCTCAGCCTGGAGTCTGTGTACAAAGGCTGTACTGTTGTGTTTAGTGGAAATTTGGTGGAAAAAACTGTCTTGGGGAAGTTGTTGCTCTTCAGGACAGAAACTCCAAGCCTGCAGCTGGAAATTCTTGTGGCAGCTAGTTTTGAATATCAGGGCTAATTTATCTGCAGAAATTGCAGATGAATTTTACAGGTGAAAAACAACCTCAGGAATTTTGTTTGGGATTTTTTTTTTTAATTTAGATTAAATTGTCTTGGGTGGTGTTGTCACTGATGAGTTAAGCAACAATAATGGCTTCAGTTCTCAGCCTGAGAGCCTAAGTTGCAATTTATGGAAAAATACAGATTTCTATTCCAAACCATTCCCTGTGTGTTCAAACATCCACACATTAAAAAAATGTTGCTATGTGATTTTGCCAATGCTCTCCCCCAGATTTAATCCTGCAGCTGATTTTGCAGTGGCTTTTGCAGAGATAGAGACTTGCAGTTTGATGAGAGGCCATGGAGAGTTATTTTATAGAAATTCAGTTATTTGTGGCATTTGCTTCTTCATTTTTAGTGCTCACAGCATGTTCAGCCCACAGAGTTGGAAGGGGGATTGTGAAGAAATTGGTGATAATTGAATAAATCAAGAGGTTTCTTCCCTCAGTTTGTTTTGGTTCTCAGTAACTTTGTTCCAACATCTCAGTGAAATGAAGTGTTTAATTCAGAGGTTTGGGATGTGATTTGGATCAAGCTAAACAGAATCTGACCAATTTATGAATGATTAATTATCAAAGCAAGGGAGATAAGAGAATTGGTCTTGATTTTTCAGATATGTTTAAAGGTTGGTTTTTTATATTAAGTAATGCAAATACAATGAAGTGCTCATAGATACAGGTCTTCAAGATTTCCCCCATCATGATGAGTCTTAAATAGTTAATTTTCAGGTAAGTTGTAAACTGCAAGTCCTGACTCTACATATCTTATGCTAGGAAGATGGTCCTAGGCAGATCATATTTCTTAATTTATTAATAATCTATCTGAAATTTATCTTCCAAAAATACCTATTTTTTATTAAGTTAAAATAATTGTCTTAGGTATTGTGGTTGGTGCTGTAAATACTCTGTTGTCATGGATAATGGAATAATGTAATCCTTGTGATTTGCTGTTCAGTGAAGAACCTTAAGATTTAAATTATAGCATTTCATAAATCCCTAGAAATTTATGCAAAAATCAGGTAATTTTTATTGTGGGAAAAAGTTGTCGGGTTTTTAAGGTGCTTCCAAAGGAACCAGTATGAATTTGTTAGGATATGTGTGTGGTGCTTGTGTCTAATTTCCAGTTCTGAATGAAAGGAAAATACATTTCAGGAAAAATAACTTTTTTTGCTTGAAGAAAAAAGAGTTACTTATTGATCCTTCAGGATTCCCAGAAAAAGGTTGCAACACTTCCATTATGTAATCAGGCATTGAATGAAGGACTCTGTTGGGGTCTCCCAAATCTGTCTCAAATTTTACCAAGTTTTAATGGTTGAAGATATACAGACACCTCAAGAACTTAATGAATGGGATTTGCTGTAAATCGTTTAATTTAAGTATATTATCCAAAAAATTCAGCATTTAACTTCTGCCACTTCAGATTTTCTCATACCTCTCCCACCAACTAGAGACCAAACTTTTATCTCCCTTTTCCACCTCCCCAAACTTCCATAACCCCCCAAAAAAATGAAGAGATGGAAGGGGGAAAAAGGGGCTGGAATTAATTTAATGGCTGAGCAACCTCACAGTGGAGAAACAGCCGGAGCCTAATAGGGGCCTTTGTCTGCATTTCCACCCTGGCTGGGAACGTGCCAGTCAAAAGTCAGGCAGGAGGAACAGGTGGGAACTATTAGACCTGTCATAAAGTTTGAAAAATTGATTCTGGAGGCTGAGGGAATAGATTGGACTTGACAGTGTTGTCCTAAAGATTCTAAGGGAAAGTTGTGTTGTTTAATTTGGGATCCCTTGATTGTTCATTAGCTCTCCAGATGGTGGTTGGGGTGTTTGGTGCTCACTGTACTGTCCCTGTGTGTCCTGAGGTCACAGCAAAGGGGGAATTCACCTGTAGGTACCCAAAATTTAATGGCAATGGCCTAATTGCCAAATAAAAAATCCTAAAAATGTCATATGTTGTTTTAAATGATCAATATTTGTTCTGTGATTTCGTGTTCAAAGTCCTTTCAGGCTATTTTTAAAAGCACTGCAACTTTTATGTCTCAAACTGAAATTTCAAATCCTCCCCAAATATTGGTTTTTTTTCTCTAGATGGAAAGTCTTTCTGTGAGTTTCAGAAACCTTTTCTTCCCAGATGTTTATCCTAATGCCACCTGAGCAGGTTAACCCTGCCAGAAACAGTTCCACCTTCTGTGGCTCCTCTGAGCATCCCTGGGAGTGCAGGTTTTAAAATGAAACCATTGTTTTTGAGGCTGCATCTGGTGTAGTGATGCAAGTGTTACATTATAGACTAAAAATGTGTATATATACAGTGTATATACACATTATACACTTATTACACTCATAAGGCTTGAGATTAACAAAGAAATACTTTTATTTCTAATATTTCTGCATACCCTAATTGGCTGGAATGGTTTCACGAACATTTCATTAAAATTAAATGAATGAGATAGAAATTTCAGTTTTGTTCTCTATCTTAGATCCTGTTTCAATATTTTAGTTGGCAGAAAATTTGATTTACACATGACTAAGGCAGCATGGAATATATTCTGTATGAAATGGCACCGTGGATCCCTTCTCCCCAATATTTAAGAAGAACAAAGTGCCATTGTTAGGGAAAGTTTGACACAAAAGTGGTGAATTTTAGTGGAAGTGAAATGTGGGCTGAGGTTCCTTTCATAACTGCTGAATAGGATATTTAAATAAAATGTCAGTTGAGAATAAACAATTTCCAAACAGCTAAAGGCTTTGCAGAAGAAAGTCTTTTCTATCGTTGGTGTCCTTGTGCTTTTCTAGATTCATACTGCTGAATTTTGAAAAGCTGAACTGCAGCTCTGATTTTGGGAAGTGGGCATGAAGACTCATTTTATTTGAAAACTCTGGGATTAGTTGAATTGAAATATGGATGATGCTGATGCAGGCCTGAGTTAAGGAAAACCAGTGTGTAATTGAAGGAGATGGGAATGGCACTTCAGGGGCAAACAAGCTGAGATTGACAAACTGTGTTAGGGACTGGGGGGTTTTTAATTTAGTTTTTAAGTCCTCGTGATGTTTTAGTCTGTGTTTTGTTATTCCTTGCACCTTGGTGATCCCCCTTATTCTCCACTGAAAGTGTATTTTTAAAAAACTGAGTGATTGGGATGAGCTTTTAAGACCCCTTCCCACCCAAACCATTCCATGGTTCCATGATAATCTTTGTATTTTAGCATGGTGAGACACTCCCAGTACATTTTTAGCCTGCTAAAAATGAGTATTTTGTCACCAGTATTAACAGTTTGTATAAATTAAGCCACTCCATCCTCCTCCCTCAGGAATTTTGGTTGGGGAGATGGAGAATACCATGGCGTGCAGGAAGGATTCTTCCTTGCAGAAAAGGTGCCTTTCTCTCAGGAAATTGGAAATTTAAATAGGAAATTATAAAACCATGTGCTGTTCAGTAGATTAGATGCATTTTAACACTGTATATCTCCTATACTCAATCTTTTCTGCAGCTACATAACCCAAAAATATTTTGTCAGTTTGCATATCGAGGTCACAATAGTTCATTTTGCCTTTAAAAACTCAGATCCCTTGATTTTGTGAAACTGTAGGATGGGATAGGAATGCTTGGCTTGGTTAATGTCTTACTTATAATTTAGAGTTTGATACTAAGAGCAATAGACCTGCTCTTTAAATTCCTGAATATAGGAATAGATATAGATATAGATATAGATATAGATATAGATTAGATATAGATGTAGATGTAGAAGTAGATGTAGATGTATGTATGTACATCATATTCCTTCATTATTTACATAATTTTTATTGCATAGATATAGATATAGATATAGATATAGATGTAGATGTAGAGGTAGATGTAAATGTAGATGTATGTATGTACATCATATTCCTTCATTATTTACATAATTTTTATTGCTAACTTTCAAGCTTCCATTCCTTAATTTATTTGCATGTTTGAAGGACTTCTTATCTTCAAAACAAAAAAAGTTGGTGCATTAAATAGCTGCTGCTGTGCTTTTCTTCCTTAAGGGTGTTTTCTTATAGGCAATATTTTGTGTCTTCCTTTGGTGCTGAAGACCAGCTCAAATAGCAGAGTAAAGTTTGTTTCCCTTAAATCAAATCAAATTAAGTTCAACACTAGGGTTTTTTTGCTCATTTAGTTTTAAATGTATAATATTTCATACTTTATTGTGCCATTCATTTATGAGCAGAGCTTTTCACCAGCCAGTGCTGGAGG